GAGCTATCTCTTCACATTCGAGCCCAACCTCCCTGACCAGTATGTACTTTCATGCTGACAATGGCCATTGCCTTCACATCCACCTGACCGGCTCCTGCCGCAAATTCCAAACTGTTTCCTGCCGGCTCCATTCTCATGTTCCCATGCCCGCAAACTTAACCAGCTGTGAAGGAGGCCCGCTGCCTCTCACTTCACACAGGCTCCTTTCTGACTGAGACTAGCCTCCTAGGAACAAACCACAATGCTACAGTGACCTCTGTTAAATTGCTGCAACTTGCCAATCACACGCAGAAACAACTTTCTGCCCAAGTGGGTGAAATAGAAACTACCTGAGGCCAGATTCAGCCAAGGCTAAGATCCACCACTATGCCTGGCTCATACCATGCTGGTACTTAAACACAGTCGCTAGTAACTGCTACTTAAGTAAGTGGTATTTTCAATGGTAACAGTTACAATATAAACATCAAAGGAATGAAAAGCAGGGCTACCACTGCCCTCCCTCGGAGGAGACCATAATTAGCACTGTTTAAGCACGACCTCCACCCCCCAGAAAGCTCTCCAGAGCAAGGCTCTGCTTCTCATCTCTGAGAGCAGCGGGTAACGTGCAAACCCTCATGAAAGGCCTCGGTCGATGGGAACAAGACCTTTCTAACACACTTTTAGCAGAGCTACCAATAAGCTTTGCTGCACAGGAGTACTTGTATGGTGTGGCCTCTGGGGAGCATCCGACAATCTGCTAGGTTCAGTGTAACTATGGAAACACACATGTAGGGGTGTCCAGGAAGGTTACCTGAGGGTCCCCCACCGAATAAAGAAGAGTGAGTGAAACAAGAACCAGCATTCCCCCCAAACCAGGCCCTCTCCCCTGTTCATCTTTCATTCCTAGAGCCCTGCCCAGCAGCTGGCGTAGAACAAATGTCTACTGAATAAACCATGTAAATAAACAAACTCAAGAACATAAAAATAAGATACTGATGTCAACTGCAGAATTAGGGAATTAGGACTATGACATTCCAACCTTTCAGGATGTTTGAACATTTGTATAATAAAATTTGGAGGAAGCTGGATGCGGTGAGTGGCACATACCTAGGCTTGGGCCCTGGAATTGGAGGCCAGCATGGACAACACAGAGCAAACCAGCTCAAGAAAGAAAACAGAGGAAGAGGAGGGTATGCGGGGTTGAAGGAGAGCGGCCCCGAGGCTCAGGTACTTGAATGCCTTCTCCCAGCGGGAGAAGCTGTGTGTCAAGTGGGCTTTGAGGTTTCAAAAGCGCATGCCAACTTGTGCATCAGGCATGAGCTCCCGGCTACGGCTCCAGCACCGTGCCTGCCTGCTGCCATGCTTCCCACCATGACAAGGATGGACTAACCTTCCAAAACTATAAGCAAGCCCCAAGTGACATGCTTCCTAAAAGTTGCCTTGACCATGGGTTCTCTGCACAGAAACAACAGTAACTAAGAAGGCTGTGTGCTGGGTGTTTCGAGCAGCACACACATATGCACTAAATTTTCCACTTTTTAAAGAATGCAAATGAATAGTAAGCTCAAAGCCGTGACTGGGCACTAGGGGCAAGAAGAGACAGTCATCCCTGTCCGCCTGCGCTGCTTTTGCCTGTGCCTCTCAAAGTTCTCCTTAGCTTCTATTTTAGGGAGCACCATTTTCACTCCTCCACCGTACCATCTCTGCCACAGATGTGCACATCTGCCTGGATAAAACCGAGTGCCGGCTTGGTTTTTATGTGTTTACGTGTTTTGCTTGCAGGCATGTCTATGAGCCATGTTTGTGCCTGAAGCCCCTGGAGGCCAGAAAAGGGCTTCGGATCCCCTGGGGCTGGAGTTACAGAAGATTGTGAGCTGTTATGTGGGTGCTGGAAACTAAACCCGGGGCCTCTGGAAGAGCAGCCAGTGCGCTTAACCACTGAGCCTTCTTTCCAGCCCTTACCCTCTCCCCAACAGCAAGGGTTTTTTGGATTTTTTTTTTCTTTTTCTTTTCAATACAGGGTTTGTCTGTGTAGGCCTGGCTGTCCTGGAACTCACCCTGTAGACCAAGCTGGCCTCAAACTCAAGAGACCCACCTGCCTCTGCCTCCAGAGCCCTGAGACTATTCTTATGCTCCCATGTCCAGGACTCTGTTTTCACTTCCTTTTCCTTGTTTCTGAGATTGTTTCTCACTGTAGCCTGGCCTCTGCCTCCCGGGTGCTGGTTAGGTTAAAGGCACACACGCGCCACCACGGCCTGGCCCCCCAAGGGTGGTTCCTAAGGGCAGTGACAAGCCGGAAGTACCTGAGGGATCATCAGAGGCGGAGCCCACAGTGATCTGGATGGTTTCAAATGGGGATGATGGATCATCTCCCAGCAGGCAGAGTGGGGGTGCTAAGGACTCCGTCTTCACGTGCAGTACTTCCCCTACTCCAGGAACCTGTGTGAGAGGTGGGGGCAGGCAGGGTGAAGGAAGGAAAGCAAGCAAGAGAGGTGCTGAGAGGAAGAGTAAGGACAAAGCCCAGTGCTTACAAACCACCAGTGAACATACTGGGGTCTAAACAGTCCTGACACTCTACCTAGGATGTTGCGAGCTCTTTATTCTTTCTTTCTATTTTCTTTTTAAGATTGCAAATATCACACCACAGTGGTTGACCCGGGCAAGAACAGTTTGAGGATTCTCAGCTGGTGCCAACACTGATTCCCCAAGCCTTACTACTGCACACTAAAAAAGCCTCGTCTTCCCTTCCACACAACCAGACTGGCAGTCTGACTAAGAAGCAACTGCCCCCACCTCATGACTCACAGTGTATAAACAACACCTCAGCACCTAGGAGTGAAGTGAATGGGCAGGACTCAGAGAACCGAGGGGGAGATGGTTCTCACCTGGCTGGGGGGCTCCGGGGAAAGATGTGACGACTCTGAGCTGAGGGAGGAGGAAGAGCAGGGGGAGGACGGCTCAGACTTCACCTGAAGGTCTGGAGGGAGAAAAGTTAGGGAACACCCAGGAAGGTCTGGGGACAGGGCAGAGCTTTAATGCCACCCTGCACGTAGAATTAAACAACCAAGAAGCAGTGCCTGAGGAGTGTTGCTGGGGTGGAGGAGGGTAAGGACAGACAACACACATACCGGGGAGCAGAGGGTGGAGCCCCGACACCTGTGTGGACAACACACACACAGGGCCCAGGGGTATTCGCTTCTGGGAAGCAGCGGGAAGAGAAGGGAATCTGGAGAGATGAGGGAAAGGCTAAGGGTACCTTACCTGGGAAGATGGGTAGAGGGTCCCAGGGGGGCTCAGGGGGGCTGACATCCATCCCCACATCCAGAGAGCTGCTGTCAAACTAAGCATATTAGAGGGCAGGAAAGTGTGAGGCCAAAACAGGAGCAACACTCCTTGCAAATTGAGGAGCCCCCTGTACACACGCTTACGTCTGTTAATCTTGTATCTCTCCCCCATAAAAGGGACCTCAAAATGCCAGAAGGGACTGCTCTCTAAAATCCCGACTTAGGGTGGTTCAGCCTGCTGGCCAGTCCCGGGTGCGACTCTAAAATGAAGCTCGCTCCAATTAGACAATTGTGAAACTGCTCTTCCTCCTCGCAAATTTCGGGTTTAACAAAAGCAGGGTGACTCTCAGAATGTGCTCCGGCCTGGAGATGGCTTCAGGTTTGGGGACCCCCCCTCCCACCACCAAGAAGTACAGGAGAAACTCTGGGGTAGCAATACCGGGACATCTTGCTCCACGCAACGAAACAACTGTGTCTGCTCCTCGGCCACTTCATCCAGGCCACTGTACAAGGTGCTGTCTGCAAGAAGGCCGCGCGTCAGGGTCGCACGCCAGCCTCTCCATTCCTCATTGGCTCGGCCGGGCCAGACCCATCGCCCGCCCACTCGCATCGCCGTCCGCCCTAAGGCGTCCGGTCCCTCTCTCCTGACCCCGGGTCAGCGTCGTGCTCCCGCAGGAGGCTACGGGCTTCCCTCATCCCGGGAAATCACGAGCCCCGCTGCACGCTCCCACAGACGACGGGCACGGCGCCCGCCCGGCCTTCTTCCTCTTTCACCCCCGCTGCCTTCCCGCGTGCCTCCGGCCCACGCCCGGCCATAGCCCGCTCCCTCCCCCGGGCCCCACTCCGCACACCCCAGTCCTCCGGACTCAGCAGGTTGTCGGTGAAGAAGCGCGTCGGGTCGGCGATCTCGCTGAGGAGCATCAGCTCCGCCATCTTCCCCCCACCCCCCACCATGAGCCGGCTCCCGGGCCCGCCTCTCCCGGGCCCCGGCAAATCTGTGGGCTCGCCGAGGGAAGACCGGGCATCCCGGAAGTCTCACTAGCCAGTCAGAGGCTTGGCTGGCGAGCATATGACACGAAGAAGCGGTGACTGTACGTGTCCGACCAATGGGAACACGGCAGCGGTCAGCCGCTCCACCCGTCCAGGCGAGAGTGCGCACGCGCCCTGCGGGCCCCAGGGACTGGCCTTGTGGGAAATGCAGTTCCTAGCATTTAAAGTTCCGGCTTCGGGGCTGGTTGATGGCTGGGCGGTTAGCCGCAGAAAGCTGCACTCACGTGGGGCCCAGAAACTCGTGAAGGCACCAATACACGCGCAATAAATGATGAGTGATTGAATAAATTTCACTCACGATGGAGAGAGGGCTCGACAGTTAAGAGTCTTTATTGCGGTCTTTAATCCCAGCGCGTGGGAGGCAGAGGCAGGCGGATCTGTGTGAAGTTGAGGCCAGCCTGAAGCTCACCCACGCCAGGCCACTCGCAAACATCTGTGACTCCAGCATCCAGGGGATGCAACTCCTTCCGACATCCGCAGGCACATGAAGGAATACAGACACATGATAAATGCACAAATCTTTAAAGGTCAACAAATGAAGTTCTGGCATTTGCCACAGCCGCTCTCATACCTTCGGGGGTGGATATGAGACTCTCCACCAAGCGGCAAGGGGACACCATCGCTAACTCCCCTTAGGTGAGAACAGGATATGAGCCCACAACACAGAACACAATTCACACATTCCTGTCTCTTTTGAAATGTAACTTTTTAATTAGCTGAACATCTTGCGCAGCCCCCGAGCCAGCCCTGCATCCTGTCTCTTTTCCCGAATGGCCACCTTCCGCAGCTCCTCCTGGGCGGCACGGTTCTTGGGATCTACTGCTAGAACTTTCTTGAGGTCAGCACTTGCTTGCTCCAGGTTCCCAAGGGCGGCCTGTGCAACCCCCCTTCGGTATAAGGCCTTCAAATGGCCCGGCTCCCGCTCCAGCACTCGGTCACAGCTCTGGGCCGCCAGCTGGGGCTGCCCGAGCAGCAACTGGCAGGCAGCCAGATTGGAATAAAGGACAGTTAGCTGTGGGGGCCTGGGTGGGGTCAAGGTGAGCAGCAGTCGGAGAGCCCGCCCATAGCATCGGGCAGCCCCTTGAGTGTTCCCAGTTTGGAACAGTTCTGTGCCGCGTGAGTGTTCTTCCCTGGCCAGGGCTTCCTTCTCCAAAGCCTCCAACTCCCAGGAGTCCCTGCCCTTAGAGAAGGAATCCAGTCTGAGCTTGAAAAGAGGTGTGGAGCATCCCGGAAGACGAATCTCCGCTTCCTCACCTTCACACATGGACTCCAGGCATTTTTCTGTGAGCTCCCCCCAAATTCTGTCCCTCCATTGCCCCATGCCTATGGTTAGTTCTGTCCAGCCCTCTGGCATCCCAGAGCCAAACGGAAACCCCAAAGCCAACACTCGGCACTGGGAGCCCAGCTTGGGTTTATCTAAGCCCTGGCCTCGGACTGTGATCTTCTTTACAAAACTGCCATCGGGGCAGTACCAGAGATTGGAAGCTGGGAGATGTTCTGCGGTCTCGTGAGATTTAGCAGAGTCACCTTCAAGCCCAGCCATGGGGTTTTCAATCTCTTGCGGATTCTCTGCTGTCTGACTGGCTGCTGCATCTGGTCTCACTCCCGGGCCTTCAGCGGGAGGCCCTGGGGGCCGCTGCCCAACTTCAATGGTTGCATCTAGGTTTTGCTGGGCGTTCTCTTCCTGCTGCTGAGGTTGAGCGGTGTCCTTCTCTTTCACTGGGCTGATAGGTGAGGTCTCCACTTGACCTCCTGTCCCTTCCATAGTAGGTAAGATTAAGGAACAGTCTGGACTAGTGAGTGGTGGACCAAGCGTAGTTCAGACCTGAAAACAAACAAACAAAAAGCCGAAACAATGTAAATTCCAGGACTCCTAGTTAGAGCTCCTCGTAGCCCTAAGTCCTTAAAGTTTCCTTTCTTCTTTCTGTTCCTTTCCAAAGCTACAGTCCACCCAGATCTAGTTTAGAACTATAACTACCGTAATTCCCCGCGGCTCGGGTAGCTGTCCCAACTATGGGTACTTGACTGAGTCAAAAGTACCTGAGAGGCCGAAAAGCCTTGCAGGGCGGCCTAAGTCACGTCTCCTTCATCGAGTACGCTCCTGAGGCCTGGGGGACGAGCCTGGGAGCAGCTGAGGACCTCAAAAATCAGTCCTCCAGCCCAAGAGGCGGAGGTGCGCGGCCCCAACATGACGGCCAATCGGGAGGACGGAGAGGCAGTTTAGCCCGCCTACGCGGCGACGTCATTTCCCCAGCAACCGCGACGCTCCGAACCTTAGCAACCGGACTAGACTTAAGCAATACAACTAGGCCAAGTCAAACCGAGCGTGACCGAGGTCGGGCCGACGGCTTTATTCGAGGAGCGGGAGAGCCGGGCTGACGGAGACGCTGCTAGCGAGCTTCCCAGCGTGCTTACGCGTGCTCTACCGGCCCCGAGCTCCCGCCCCGTCCAAGACCGAGGAGTTAGCCGCCTCCCGCCCTCGGGTGTCGTTATTCCTAAATGTTGATCTTGGCGGAAATCAATCCGGGCCCCTGTCGGCCCCTCCTTGACCGTTGCCACACACACCTTCAAGCGCGGCCTCGATCCGGTTGTTTTCCAGCTCGAATGTGCGTGCCCATCCCTGGGAAAGACGTTCATTTCCGTTTCAGGCCTGGATTTCGACCGTGTGAGGAGCTGCCTGGGAATCTTAGCGCTCCTGCCCAGGGGACGCACCTCGGCCAACGGCCTAGGCCCTCGGCGACCTCCTTCCGCGCCTGCTCAGCTTGTCCAGTGCGTTCCAGTGAGTGGAGCGCGGCCGACAGGTCTCTTCCCCGCTACGGAAGGTGTAGATGGATCTCGTTCGTGACGACTCAGCCTTGCTGGGCCGACTGCCCAGGCCGGGCCAGTTCTTCAGGAAAGGAGAATACTTTGTTATCCAAGTACCTCACTTTGGCATATGTTGTCCTGGGGGTTCCTGACAGGGTTTGTGTATCCTTTGCTGGCCCGGAACTCTTTGTAGAGGAGGATTCTGGGATGACGGGCGAGCGCCTCTGTGTGCGGCTCGCCTGCGTCACACCATGCTTCATGGAGGGTGCAGGGAGAAAGAAATCCTGGCAAGCTTTAGCTCGGATGAGAGTAGACAAAGGGTGGGCACACTAATAGACTTCTTCGGAGGTATTAAAGAAATAACCCAATTATTGTTTTTTTTTTCTTTTTTTGAGACAAGGTTTCTTTGTGTAGCCTTGGCTGTTCTGCAGTCAATGTGTAGACCACCCTGGCCTCGAACACAGAGATCCGCCTGCCTCTGCCTCCCTGAGGGCTGGGATCACAGGCGTGCTCCATCGTTCGCGGCTCTGACCCAATTCTTACTCAAACATAACTTACAAACTAGCTTTGCCAGACAGTTTAGGAAGATAAGGAGTTCACAGAAATCGACGTTTTCTTTGCTCCTCGGAGCCGCTTGCTCGTTGAAAAGCGTCCTCTTAACAGAGAAGGCGAAGGTCTGTTGACCCGCCTCGAGAAAGCCACCTCGGCAGAGCGCGAAGCTGACGGAAAGCGCTGCTCTTACTTAATCTCGCGGAAAACTGTAACCTGGAGATAATGAAGGCTGCCGTCTGCCTCTGTGAACCTGCTCAGCTGGCCAGAACATGTAATCCAGAGGCAACGCAGACCCGCAGTTTCCATCTCTGTATCACTTGCTTCATTACGGACAAGCATCATTTGGGATGGCATAAGCCAGGTGTGTGTTGCCGCATGATTTTAATCCTAAAAATGAGGAGGCAGAGGCTGGTGGATCTCTGTGTGGTCGAAGCCAGCCTAGTCTACAAATCAACTTCCAGGACAGCCAGGACTGTTACACAGAGAAATACTGTCTCGAAGAACCAAAAAAGAAAAACAGAACAAAAACCTTTTTTTTTTTTCTATTTGTGTTGAGCTCCAGGTCACTGATCTTGACTCTCTCTCTCTCTCTCTCTCTCTCTCTCTCTCACACACACACACACATTTTATTTTTGGTCTTGAGCCAGAGTAACCTAGTCCACTGTCCCGTCTTCCAACACTGTTTGGGATCCCTGGAAGCTTGGCGAAAGTTAATCCATCTTCTCTCTCCTCCCCTTTCCTCTGAGGGATTTCAAGGAAAGTAGAAAGCGTGAAAGTTTACACCCTAATCCCTGGACAAAGAAATCCACATCCTCCTGCACTTTGTATGTGTGTATTTTAGCTTCAGTAGACTCCAGCAGGCAGTGACTCTGCGTGTGTGTGCACGTGTGTGTGATTTAGTGCCTCCATTCGTCCATCGAGTATCTATTGAGCACCCCAAGTATCCAGGCAGCACGTTAGGACTGGGTGAACAAGCTGCACACTCGTGAATGTATAACCCCGCTACAGAAAGTCACCACAGAGGCAGAAAGTGTGATGTGAGAGTGAGCTGGGAGGGGGAGCAGACATTCCTGTGGTAACAGTTTTTGAGGAATGAGCTGTAGCAGGGCATGATGGCTCCTATAATCCCAGCACTTAGGAGGTGGAGGAAGGAAGATCAAGAGTTCAAGGGCTGGGGCGGGGGAGGTGGCTCAGTGGTTAGGAGCACTGTCTCCTCTTCCACAGGACCTGGGTTCAATTCCCAGCATCCACGAGGCAGCTTACAACTGTCTGTAACTCCAGTTCCAGGGGATCTGACACCTCCAGGTTTCTGACACCTTCATACTAATGCACATAAAAGAAAATTAAACAAATTATTCTTAAAAAAAAAAAAAAGAGTCCAAGAACTTGTCAGCTAAACAGTGAATGAGCTTGAGGCCAGCCTGGGCTACGTGAGGGACAGAGGAGAGGAGGACAAGTCAAAGTCACCTGAAGGCTAAACCTCAAATACCACATCTGGCAGGAGTATCCCGTGGGAGAACAGGAAGGCCTTAACCACTGGGCCATCTTTCCAGCCCCCCGGTCGATTCTTTCTTAGTGTCCCTCATGGCAGAGTCCATACACAGGGTGCACCCCAAAACCCTTACTAAGGACTCAGGATTTGTCAGTGAAATGCAGAAATCCTCTCCTGTGTGTGTGTGTGTGTGGGGGGGGGGTCATGTTTCAAAAAGTTGCAGGTGCCAGGACAGTGGGCAGGGTAGCAGGGCCCTGGCGATTTCCCGCTCAGCGCCATCTGCAAAGCCTTCAGGCAGGGAGGCAATCAGACTGCTGAGCAGAGATTTGGGGCGTTCTTTGCAGAAGAGGCAGCAGGAGGCAGCGCTACCGTTTGTCCACCCGGCTTCATGCCCTTCTGGTCAGACTCAGACTGCCCAGGCTGTTCCAAGCCACGCGCCTGCTGCCTTGTCACAAGGGCCGGAGCTGGCTGGGGGTTTTCACGCCGCCAGACACCACACGTCCCACACACGCCACAAGGAGCCAAATGCTGCCCTCACGTTCTAACCGGTTAGCACCAGCATGAGACGCCCAGATTGTGGCCTCCCAGAGGGAAACAAATGTCCCCTTGTTCAGCTTTGGTGGTTTCGGTGGGGTTTGGTTCTCCTAGAATTTGTGTCAAAATTGTTCCTCTTTTCCTCCCAACGTTTTTGGGATGCACTTGCCTTGCTGGCAGGCTTTCTGTGATGAAACATCTCCTAGATGTGCCCCGTAGTAAGCCTGGCCATGAGTCACAACAGCAACGCCAGGCTTTGTGCTAAAGGGACAATGGTCTTAGCTCATATGTATTAGCTAATGCGTGTGACCTCATCTTCTCCTGCCATAACTCAAGGGGCTGCTTATTCACTCAGTCTCTCTCGCCCCTTTGTAATGGTGCTGCTCACATTCCAAGCCTGTAAACCCCTGGCATGCTCTGCATCACGAAGCCACATTCCCAGGCCCTGTTCAACAATTTAATTTTTTCTGCCTTTTTATTTTTTATTTAACTGGGGCTGGAAAGCTGGCGCAGTGGCTGGGAGCACTGGCTGCTCTTGCAGAGGGCCTGGCTCGGTGCCCAGGCTTTACATGGCAGCTCACAAGCTCTGTAGCCTCCACTCCCAGGTGCCAACGCCCTCTCCGGACCTCGGTGGGCACCAGGCACACACAGTGCAGGTACACACGTGCAGGCTAGACACTCAGACACATGAAATAACTCTTTAATGAAAGCTTTTTTTTCTTTCTTTTTTTTTTTTTTTTTGGAGACAGAGTCTCACTTTGTAGCCCTGGCTAGTCTGGAACTCACTAATGTAGACCAGGCTATCCTTGAGCTCATAGACATCCACCTGCCTCTGCTTCCCTGAGAGCTGGGATTAAAGGAGTGCTCCATCATGTCTGACTTATAAAAAAGTCTCTTTCCTGCTGGACGCAGTCTTTCCTTCTCAACACAGTCTGTTTGCATATGGGGTACTTGCCTGAGTGCGGGTGGGAGGTTATTCAGCAGGCTGTGAGCAACTGATCTTGACTACCACACTGAAAAAATTAAACCCTCCTCCCCAAACAACCACCAACTGCCAAGGAACGGTCTTCCTGGGAGGGGTGGACGCCTCGCCCACCCATGATGCAATGTCTCGGACCAATCTTTGTTGCTGGCCTTCTCCTTAGTAAGCCCTGTGCTAGGGCTGCAGTAGGAGAACAGGCAACAGCTTACATCTTTACAGCTGAAGATGTTAGGGCACAAAAACCTGTGGGTAAGATGCCCTACAGTGTCAGGCAGTGACAAGGGTTGCGAACCAATAAACCAGGGTAAGGGAAAGGTGGGAAAGGTCCCGGGTGTGTGAGTCATCTTTAAATCAGTGCTACGGGAAAGTCTCCTCCTGGAGCTGATAATGGTCCTGTGACGTACGGTGGCCTGTAAGGGGCTGGGGGCATGTGGCTCAGTGGGCAGAGTGCTCGCCCAGCATGCAGGAGGTGCTGAGTTTGGCCCCCCGTGCCACATACATGGCACACCTCTGACTCTGAGCCACAAGGTCGAAGCAGAAGGATCCAGAGTTCAAGTTCACCCTTGGCTACATGAGGTGTGTTCCCGGAGAGGCTCAGCGGTAAAGGCGCTCTCTGATAGCCAGGGACCACACTGTGGGTGGGGAGGACCGACTCCAGGGCTCCTATCTTGCCTCCACATGATGCTAGGCATGCACACATGTACATCCATGTACACAGACCATACTGAACAGCTTTAAAAAACAGAACAGCAAAAGCAAAGAGTGAGTGCATGTGTATGAGTACGTGCGTGAAATGGATTGGTGGATAAAGCGGCCTCCTGCCAAACCTGATGATCTGAATTTGATTTCAGAGATCTGCATTGCGGAAGGAGAGACCTGACTCACGCAACTTGTCCCCTAACCCCTCCAGGTGCAGTGTGGTTCACACACACACACACACACACACACACACACACACACACACACACAC